GCCATAATGGCACCGGTGGCAAGTCCATCTACGGGGAGAAATTTGAGGATGAGAACTTCATCCTGAAACACACAGGTCCTGGCATCTGTCCATGGCAAATGCTGGGCCAGCACAAATGGTCCCCCGTTTCTCACCTGCGCTGCCCAGCCTGAGTGGGTGGGTGGTGAGCATGAGGCCTTCGGGCGGTGACAGAAGGCACGCATATTGTGACGGCCATGGGGCGCTTTGGGTCCAGGAGTGGCAAGACCAGCAAGATCACCTTTGCTGACCGTGGACATAACTTTGACTTGTGTTTTATCTTTACCACCAGACCATTCCTTTGGTAGCTCAGGAGAGCACCCCTTCACCCCCCAATTTGCTTGGAATGTTCTGTAATCTTTGTGCTCTTGCCACAGCTCATTGGGTTCCATAATTTCCTTACCCCTTCCCAGTCTAGCTGGATTGCAGAGTTAAGTGTATGATTATGAAATAAAAATAAACAGTTATTAGTCAAAAAAGAGAGAGAGAGCCAGGACCTGTTTGGGTCAGTGGATAGAGTGTCGGCTTGCGGACTGAAAGGTCCCGGGTTCGATTCCAGGCAAGGGCAAGTACCTTGGTTGCAGGCACATCCCCAGTAGGGGGTGTGCAAGAGGCAGCTGATATCCCTCTCTCTTCCTCTCTGTGAAAAATCAATTAAAAGAGAGAGAGAAGAGAGAGAGAGAGAGAGAGAGAGAGAGAGAGAGAGAGAGAGAGAGAGAGAAGCCTCCGTTCCTTCCCACGTGGACCCTCCAAAGAGAGAGAGAAAGGAAGGAAGGAAGGAAGGAAGGAAGGAAGGAAGGAAGGAAGGAAGGAAGGAAGGAAGGAAAGAAGGAAGGAAGGAAGATCCTTGACTGCCTCCTGCACACCCCCTACTGGGGATCACAACTGGAGCATGTGTCCTGACCAGGATTCTAACCAGTGACCTCTTGGCTCATGGGTTGATGCTCAACCACTATGCCACAGAGGCTGGGCAGATGTTGCACTTTTAAAAAATTAAAGGCAAGAGACCCTGTACCAGCAAAAAGATTCCGACTCACTTCATTGCAATACTCGTTTAACTGTGGTGGTCTGGATCTGAACCGGCAAATCTCCGAGGCATGCCTGTCAGTTTCCCATTTCCGCATCTCACACACCTGTGTCTGTCTCACTTTAGACACACCTGTGTCTGTCTCACTTTCTGCCTTTAGACACGTGGACGTCCAGAACGTTCTCAGCTGCTGTCCACCTTTCAGCCAGGAAAGGGCTGATGGTCAAGGTGATGGACAGGTGGAGATGACACCTGGGTGATCAGTGCAGCGAGAGGACCAGCAAGGTGCCTCATCAAGTCCCTTAGAACATTTTGGCGTTGAGTCAGTGGTAAGCAAGGGGGCTTCCACAGAAATACCTGTGTTTCCTATTTATGAGGCTGTCAGAGGGGGGAGCGTCTAAAAAGAGGCTTCCCCGGTGAGTCAAGGTCTCCTGCAGCCCAGATGGCATGCCGGCTCTCATGCCGGCTCCCCAGCCCTTCTCCCCTGGGCCACCTGGACGCCAGCTCTTTGCTTTGATTCAGCTCCGATGGCGCTTTTTCCTCTGATGCCGGCCCGCTCCCGCCCAGCTGAGAGCCTCTATTTCTGGGCGCCTCGTGGATAATTGAGTGGGCAGAGGCTCCCCACCCGCCCCCCTCGGAGCATCCCTGCAGAAAAGGGGGAGTGCTCCGAAGAAGTGAAAAACAGTGGGTGGTTCAGTTCAAAAGGACAAAATATTTCTTGCCCTGGCACCGGGAGAGGAAAGAAATTGTCTGAGGCCCCGAAGAACAGCTAAACTAAGAAGCCGAAAGCTGCAGTCCATGAGGGCAAATTAGGTGACTCAGCTGCGACTCCCCTGGATCCAGTCCTCGTAGCATGAATGCGCTTTAAAAGGGAAAAATGCTTAACGCTGACAAAGACTGGGCTTTGTAAAGATGTGCTTAGTGCTGATGCTGCCGGTTTCCAAACGGCAGTCCCTCCGGGCAGGCGGCACCTGCGGAGATCGCCGCCGGCCTCCTGGGCCGGGGCCTGGGTGGGACCGGGTCTAAAATTATCCCTGATAATGAGGCTGGCAGAGGAGGGCCCGGCATGCTCACTTCCTGCCTCCATTCTGGCCTCCAGGACCCCGGCTCCCAGGGAGGCCTCGGGAGGCAGGGGCGGCTGTGCCAAGGACACGGGCCTTGTTGCCCAGTGAAGATAGGTTCAGGCTGGGATGGTTGTGTAGACATTAACCCACAGAGCCTCAGTTTGCTCATCTGCAAACAGGACTCACAGCATGGAAACTGGTGTATGGGGTGTGTGTATGTGTGTGCGTGTGTGTGGTGTGTGTGTATGTGTGTATGTGTGTATGTGGTGTGTGTGTGTGTGTGTGAAATGAGCTATTAATAGATGGTGGAAAGAACCCACTTCATGCCCTGCATGTAGCAACTGCTAATTAAAAGGAGGCTTGGAGGCGAAGGGCATGGACTGCAGGGCCAAACAGTCTTAATTCCGGTTAAGTCACTGCTAGCTCCTTTTTTTTTTTTTTTTTTAAATATATTTTATTGATTGTTTGTTTTGTTTTTTTTTACAGAGAGGAAGGGAGAGAGCTAGAGAGTTAGAAAAATCGATGAGAGAGAGACATCGACCAGCTGCCTCCTGCACACCCCCTACTAGGGATGTGCCTGCAACCAAGAAACATGCCCTGGACCGGAATTGAACCTGGGTCCTTTCGGTCCTCAGGCCGATGCTCTATCCACTGAGCCAAACCGGTTTCGGTGACTGCTCATTCCTGGAGTGTGTATGGAAAGCTTTTGAAAATTTAATATACATTTCAGCATTTATCATATGCCGGACTGTTCTTAGCATCACATCCTGACATCAAACTCTGTGGAAGGCATGGATAGTGCACCCATTTTACAGAGTGGGTGAAGGACTCTGGGGCAGAACCAAGGGGCTGATTCTAGAGCCAGTACTTTTACTCTGCCTGGCAGGTGCCCTAACCCAGTGCTGCTGATAGAACTTCCCACAGAGCCGGGGTGTTCAATTCCGAGCCGTCTGACTCCGTGGCCCCCTCGCCACAGGTGGCTTTTGACCGGGTGAAACGCGGCTTGTACCACCAAAGAACGACGTTTACATTTTATGTAATGGTTAATGACTTTAACTTTTCATAGCCACAGGTGGCCAGTGGCTACCATATCAGGCAGCACAGAGCTGACCTCTCTTCCTGTGAGTGTATCACTCTTCAGGGTCAACAGCAGGAATTTATCGATGATCCGAGCTCTGAGCCTGGCACAGAGTAGCTGCTAAGTTAGGGGCTGCTCTTCACAGTGCTGCTACGTAGAGAGATTGTCTCTGGAAGACGATGGTCTGCAGGCTGGCAGCGATATAAGGAGGTTTCATGCAGGCCTTGAGTGGCCAACAGGTCCCAGGGCGCCCATGAATTCCCCATTTTAAAACTGGAAGCGTCCTCAACCCCAGGCAGACCAGAACTGGCCCCCTTGCCTCAGATGGTGTACAGAATCCACAGGAAATGGGGGTCCCTCCGTAGGCTCCCTAAAAGAGAAACTGAGGCTCACAGAGGGCAGATGGCTTGCCTGTGGCAAATATGTATTTGCCACAGGCAAGCCATCTGCCCTCTGTGAGCCTCAGTTTCCCTTTTAGACAGTCAGGGAGAAGGTTTCTCTGCTTGCAGGTGGCTGCAAGGAATTCAAGGTACAAGGCTCGGAGCACAGCAGGTGGGCAGATGGGGCTGCCCTTGTGGGGAGGAGCTTGGTGAGCTGTCCCATTGGCTGAGACTGGCTTCCCGGGGAGGTGGGTGGGGCTTTTCCCTGTAGCTCTCTGTGGGACCATGCACGGAGGTGGTCATGCACGGGAGCCGAGGTGTGGAATACAGGGCGGCCCCACGGGTGGGGCCAGTGCCTCTCAAGTTCAAGTCTCTCGGTAAGACAGTGTGTGGGTGCGTGGGGTCCTGATGAGTCACCGGCTCTGGTGCTCCCTGGAGTTTCATCAGAGCTCGAGGGAATATCTGGACTGGCCATCTTCAAAGCTGGCCTTATCGCTGGGCCCCGACTTTCCCGCCCCGCAGGCAGGCCAAGAGGCAGTGCTAGGCTGGGTGTACAAAGAGCATCCTGACAGCCCAGCGTCTCGCCCTCTTCCCACCGGGCGCCCTGGCTCTGTGGCCCCTGGATGGGAGCACTTTGGTGGGGGCCCCCGCGTGGCATCCCACCCGAATGCTGGAGACCAGCGCGGAGTTCACGACATCCCGTCCCTTTATTTTCCTGTTTATCCAGAGCATGTGTAAACACACGGGTTGCCTGGTTTCGGCGTCTCTTTGGCCATTTCATTATTGCTGGAGCCTCTGAGCATCACTGGAAACCTCGGGCTTTCTAAATGAATCTAAAAATACACTCTTTGAGAAAAAAAATCTTGGAGTTGGACAGAGTTGACACAAGGCACAGTTATTTATTTTTTTTCCCCTCGTCCCCTTCCCTCCCCCCCCCTTCCCTTTCCTCCTCCCCTCACTATCCCCAAATACAAAAAAAAATAAAAATAAAAAAATCTGGGCAGCTGGAGGCCCGGAGGGCCAGGGAAGGGCCCCTGGGTCAGTGTCCAGGGGTCTCAGGCCCCCTGGGTGCTGATGTGAGCCCATGGCGGCTTTTACTGGGAGGAACCCGCTTGGGAGCCGGGGGGGGGGGGGGCTTGGGAGCCCCGGGATGGTTTAGCAAAAGCTGCAGGGGGCTCGGCCATCCTTGCAAACTGCCGCCTGCAGCCTCTGCAGGGCCGGCTTGGACACTTGCACGCCCCCACCCCCTCGGCTCTGGCGGCCGCATCCCTCCCTCTCCCTGACTTTGCTCGTGAACAATCGGGGACTTGTGCTGGCGGCCGAGGGAGCCACGGCGCTGGCTGGCCGCGGAGGAGGCGACGTCATGGATTCCTGAGTGTGAAGTTTGCAGGAAAGCCCTTAGTTTTGGAGATGGACGGGATCCAGCGGTTTCCATGGCGCTGGGTAAACAGGAGGAAACAGTGAGGGAATCCCGTTATTTTACTGCATTGAAAGCCTATAAACACGGAGCGCCGGGAAGGAAGTCGCGTTCCCTCTCGAGTAAGCCGAGCGCCGAGCCGCGCCGCCTCCAACGCGCCGGGAGCCGGAGCCGGGAGCCGGGAGCCGGGAGCCGGGAGCCGGGAGCCGGGAGCCGGAGCGGAGGCGCGCAGCTCCCGGGCCCCTCGCAGGCTCCGCGGCCAGGGCACCCCGAGAGCATGCTTTAGAGGACGGCGCCCCCGTGGCTCCTGGTCTCCAAAAACAGAGCCCCTCTCGCAGCGCGCGCCAAGCCCCCGTCCCTTCCAGATGCAGAGAGAGGCTGCGTTCAAGCCGGGGCACTGCCATCCCCTCCGCATCATGGGGTCTGTGGACCAAGGTAACGGACTCGCCCCCCGCCGCGGCCGGTTCTCCTCCCGCCCCCCAGCCCTCCCCTCCTTCTCCTCTCTCCTGCGGGCAGCGCTTCGGGCTGCTGGCTGGCCGCGGGGGGCCGGGGACCCCGGGGACCCCAGCTGCCCGGGGCGCACAGGTAGAGCGGCCCGCACGGAAGCGCCCGCGCCCGGCCCGGGAGGGAGGGCAGGGGGCGACGTGAGGCCGCCGGGCAGCGCCGGGTCCCACGCGGGATTCCCTGGCGCCGTGTCCCGGGAGCTTCCCTTCCGTGGGACACCGGGCGGACGTCTCTGGCTACTAACCGCTGGCCGCTTAACCGTTTCAGCACTCGGCTTTTGACAGCAGATGCTCCGCAGCTGCACTGCTACTATTATTTCTATTTAGTGTATCATTTAGCTTTTTTTTTTTTTTCCCCCCTTTCCCCTTTTAGGAGAGCAGGCTTGAGCTTTTTACTATATAGCAAACCTAGCCACGAAGGCTTCGCTTTTGAAACAGTTACAGCAGCAGATGCGCTGGGACATTTAAACACCCCCTCCCCCACTTTTTTTTTTTTTTTTTTTTTTTTTTTTTTTGGATGTGCCTGGTGGATTCAGTCCCGGCTCCCGCTTTAAAGTGCAGTGTACCATCAGTTTGTGTTGCGATCTGATTACACCCTGCTCTCTGTATTCCTGCCTCTTTTCCTTCTCTCGGATTTAGCCCTGGAATCATACTCCTCGGATCTGGCGGGAGGGGCTTCACGTATAAGAATATGTTTATGAAAACCTGCCATCCGGCCGGGCGGCGAGGCGCGCGGGCGGTGCAGTTGCGCGTGGGGCTCGGAGAGTGGGGACCAGGCGATGCGGCTGCGCGTGTGGGTCCGAGGCCAGCCCTGCCGGCGGCGGGGGCACTGCCCAGCGGGCAGGGCTGCAAGAGTTAAGTGAAATAAATCCGCGTGGGAGGAGTTAGCCTGGTGTCATAAAAGCAGAGTTGAATGTAGGTTTTGTGCTCTGCGTGGCTGATTAAAGTTCTGGGGGGGTAGAAATGACAATTTCAGTAAATAAACCTGAGGGTTTTATTTTTTATTTTATTTTATTTTTTTTTTTTAAAACCAGAGTGAGGCCAATTGCGTTGGTTGGGTGAACGGTGTGCTTTGCCTCAATGACACATACGTTTAGCTGAGTTGCACTTTGAACGGTGTAACTGGTACCCGAGTACCCTGGCCTCTGTTAGTGGTCAAGCATGTGACATAATGGCAAAAAAAAAAAAAAATTACTAATGTTGCATCACCTGTAAAAGCGGTGGCCTTAGATAGGTGACAGATATACATTAAGGACACGAACTGGTTTTGGCTGTCACACATACCAACATGGCGCTGGGTGTTATGATGGTGGGGGTGAGGGGTAGACCAATGCCAACGGAGGGAGCGCTATGTGGAAAAGAAGAGAGCGAGAGGGAGAGAGAGGGAGAGAGAGAGCGAGTTTGGAAGAGAAGCAGGGCTTCTGATTGACTCTGCGATCTGATAGGAGCCTCACATTTTGGGGAGCTGCCCACCTCTGCTCAAGCTTGCTGTGCTGCCCCCGCCCCTCTCTCCAGGTGCTGAAGTCCGTGCAACTTGCGTGAGCCCATGCGTTGCCTCCCCTCCCAGCCCATGCTCATGTGTGCAGGGATTGTGAGTGTGTGCGTGCCAGTGTGTGTGTGTACACATGTGGGAGACAGGGCACCACATTGTTCCCAGCGAACCGCACTCAGCATTCCAAGGCAGCTGGGCACACAGGATGCAGTTCCAGGCATCAAAGAGCTGGCGTGAGAGCCGCTTCCACCGTGCCCTGCTGAGGGAGAAGCCAGTGCCCCTTTAAACCCAAACACCACGTGAGCTCAGGGACAGACCTGAAGTGTGCCTGCAGATGGGTGGGGCCGTGCATAGCGAAGAGAAATATTTGCATGGCAGGAAAACACTGACCTTGCTGTGCAGCGTTGGGTCAAGGCTCTGGGAAAACTGAAGATCTGAGAGAGGTGTGTTCAGTTTTATCTGAAGTGGGATGATGGAAAGTATTTCAGGAATAAACACGTCCAGCACGAGGCTCTGTTCACTCCCAGGCTGGAGCTCCCTGCTTTCTGCTTTGGTTAGAATTTCTGTTTGGCCACATCATACTGTGTGATCTCAGATAAGTGCTTTTCACCGCTCTGTGCCTCAGTTTTCACATCTGCAAAATGGGGCCAGTAATATCGATGGCATGCTCACAGTCCATGCTCGATAAATGTTAGCTGCAGTTCCTACTGAAGTTGCAAAACAATAACTTACATGGATACAGAAACTGGATTTTGCAACAAGAAGTTGCTGAAGAGATGTAGCACTCCAAACCTCTCTGGGAGCTTTTTAACTTACTGGGGCTCTGTAGTGAGACAGGTTGGGCCAAGATGGCGGTTACAAAGCCTCAGTTTCCTCATCAGCAAAAGGGAAAGATGATCGTGTTGACCTCACAGGGTTGCTATAAACATCCCGTGAAATCACACACGGAAAATGCCAACGTCGATGCTTAGCCTGCGGTTAACACACATGCGATGTTATTGTCTGACGGTGGAGGATGGTGGGAGGCAGTCACACACGGTGGGAACTCGCGTGCTGTCTGTGGGGGTGAGAGCAAGCGTGTAGTGAGCGCTGGCTGGGAGCCACCCACCCACCCACACGCTTGCAACTCTTAAGTCTTTAATTGTCCTGGCAAGCATGTTGCTAAGTTGTGCAGTCACCTCCTGCACGGAGGAGGGCACAGAGAGGTGCAGTAACTGGCCAAGGGCTGCCCAGCGGAGAAGTCGTGGAGCCATCATCTGTTTTCATTTATTTTTAAAAAATGTGTTTTTATTTATTTCAGAGAGAGGAAGAGAAAGACAGAAATATCAATGATGAGAGAGAATCTTCGATTGGCTAACTCCTGCACACCCCCTCCCCCACTAGGGATCCAGCCTGTATCCTGGGCATGTGCCCTGACCGGGAATTGAGGAATTGAACCTCCTGGTTCATAGGTTGATGCTCAACCACTGAGCAACACTGGCTGAGCTGGAGGCATCATTCGAACACGGGCCCTGTGTCTGGAACTCACTAATGTTACCATAATTTTTATAATAGAAGAGCATACTGAAGGGATCCACTCCTTGATCTTTGGTTCTTCCCCCATCACCACGTTATTTCTTGGTATATCCCAGAAGGAGAGGAGGGGAGTGTGGGCAGAGGTGGAGGGAGCCAGCATCATCGTTAAAGATGGGGAAACTGAGGCGGCAGCTGATTTGTCCGAGCAGAGAATGATCGGGGTGGGCTCCTTGCCTCGCCTTGCTTCAGGGAAAGGGAAGGACAATGTTTCCACTTTCCTCCCGAAGGAAACTGGCCCCCAGCGGCCAGGAGGCTCTGAGCCGGCTCCACTTTCTGTTTCTGCCCAGAACAGAGGCCACTGCAAGGGCCTTCCAGTCTCCCCTTTTCTCAGGACTTCAGAGAGAAGCTCCTCCGGCCCCTTCATTGAGACTTTCCCTGAGGACAGGGGCCGGGCTCCCTATTCCTGTGAGTGTCCAACGGGCTCTAGGGAATATTCCACACCCAGGACATCACCAGCTGAGATCTGGGTGAGAGGTTCAACTTCCCTGGAATAATCATTACTATAGTTGACAGTGAGTATCAGACCATCAGAACAGCAGGGGCGGAGACTCCCCTACCGTTCCAGGTTTTAACCCTTCATCTGTTGAATTACAGGAAGGTCCCAAGACAGCAGAGGGTGGGTGGTGGTGGAGGGGGTGATAGCAATCATTTACCAATCTATGGCGAGTTTCAATCTTTTAATAAACCATATGATTCTCCAATCACTCACTTAATAAACAATTGCTGCCATTATTACTGTACAATTCATTCGTTCATAGTTAGCACCCCCCTCCAAAAAAAAAGATCCCACCTAAAAAACATCAACAATGATTACCCTAGCCCTGGCTCAGCAAACTGCTGCTCACAAGCCACATGCAGCTCTTTGGCCCCTTGAGTGTGGCTCTTCCACAAAATACCACGGCCTGGGCGAGTCTATTTTGAAGAAGTGGCATTAGAAGAAGTTTAAGTTTAAAAAATTTGGCTCTCCAAAGACATTTCAATTGTTGTACTGTTGATATTTGGCTCTGTGGACTAATGAGTTTGCCTACCACTGCCCTAGCTGGTTTGGCTCAGTGGATAGAGTATTGGCTCCTGGACCGAAGGGTCCCAGTCTGATTCTGGTCAAGGGCACATTCCTGGGTTGCAGGCTCGATCCCTGGCCCTGTTCGGGGTGCTTACAGGAGGCAACAAATCAACGTGTCTCTCCCACATCGATGTTTCTCTCTATCTCTCTCCCCGTTCCACTCTCTCTAAAAATCAATGGAAAAATATCTTCGGGCGGGGATTAACGGCAACAATCAAGCAATCACCAAGCACTTCCCTGTGCATGCTCTCACTACGTAACGGGTATCTCGGATCTTGCCTAGAAGAAGCCAGGCAGGGCCCTGTTTTTGTTCTTTGCTAGAAGAGCCTCCTCTGAGTGCCCCGCCCTGAACAGCGGTTCCCTAGGACTCTCTTTCCTTACCGCCCTGGCGGTGACTGTTCCTGCTTTGTCCGCGCTTCCCTGTGCCCCAGCGCGGGGTGCAGTAGGTGCTCTTTGTTACGTGGTGGACGGACGGACGGATGATGAGTCAGTGATGCAGTGGGTGACCTGGCTTTCTGAGGCCTGCGGAAGCACCTGGGTGTCTTTTCGGCTCGCTCTCCTACGCCTCCCGTAGACCACGGCATTGGCCTTGGCCTTGGCCTTCCACGTTCCCCACCGCACGCACCTCACGCTAGTGGCCACTCGGAAATTCT